TACATGTCTTTTTGGACTTACCCACATGTTATGGATCCAGGTTACGTTCTTGTTACGTCTACTTTCGGCCTTCGTTGACACCGATTTTCTCTGTCAATATCTTTCACTTTTTCACTTTCTTAGTTTCACTGCGTCTTTGAATGAGTTTCCGCCGAGTCCCTTCCCTGCCCAGCGCCCGAAGCGGCTTTAAACCATAGCCAGGTTATCTATGCTAAGTTTTACTTTATATTGACCCTTATGACCCCACCACCGTCCAGCTGTGCTCGGCGCCAGCGGGTTTTCTACACCCACGGTGCTGTTTATCGCATATCGATTTCACAACCATTCACAACCGTCATAAGCAGCCAGCGAATTTGGTCGATAACTCACGGTTTCCATGGTTACGCATCATTGATGAAGAAACCCTTTCATTGTGGGATAACCTGCTTTTATGGCATTGAATGTTATTACGGAGCGAGCGAAGCGAGCGTAGTCTTTCCTTAGATTAAAGGGACTCTATCCCACCTTTAACATGGGGTTTGAGTTGAGATAGCCAAGTTTGCGGCGAGGTTCAGAAACCACTATCTATCTAGGTTGCAACCCCCGCGGCCTCTTGGTGTTGAAGAAATTCGTTCCCTTCATTTGAAAATGGGCCTTGTACAAGGCCCTATCTTCAACATGGAGCGACCGTTAGTGTGACGTCACGTCGTTTAGTCATTCTGATTTAAATGGGTTTGTTCGTTGAAAAATCGCTTAAAACTTGGTCTGAACTTTGTTTTGGTGCCTACAGAGTAAAAAAAAAATCAGCTTTATGACAGTAATGTGGCCTGGGGAAGGAGGTAATTTTGGGCTGTGACGTCACATATTTGAAAGTTTGTGCTTGGAATATGGGAAGCCTAAGATGTTTAATGAAAAATAAATGCCAGAACCGTGTTCCTGGTCATCCAATCTATAAAGTGGGCACAATTTAACTGGTTTTAACAACATTTTAGAAGATTGGTAATATTACTAAGTGCTCGAGCGAGGAACATATTGAATATAATTAGATAAATAAAAGAAGTTGACCTTTTCCTCGACATCAAAAATGTAAAAAGCCGAATAATATATTTAAAAAAAACGGTGAGCTTTCGGCCACTGGCCTTTATCAAACCAACGTGATAACAATGTTAAAAGACGATCCTGTGAATAATCTGGCTGCCATTTTTCAAAAACCGAAGATCGTGATATTTTAGAAAAGGCGCTACTCATAAGGGCAAACTATTTGATCGATCGATTGTCTACATAGTGTCCGATGTACGTAACATACATAATATACAATTGTACACGTAGCTGTCAAACACACATCGTATGGAAGGTATGTACACTAACGCCGATGTACATCACACACATAACAAAATAATATACACATACACATATTAATCGATTGAGTTGAAAAGGCTACACGCTCACAAGATACACATGATACAGGCGCTTACATGATTGGCCACGACGAAAGATTTGAGTTTATGTGCGGGCGGTTTGCTTTTATAAGTAGGGATTCTGCGATTTTTCTGTCCGGGTGGTCTTTGGAGCGATAAAGGACGCGAACCTGAAGAGGAAGGGATGATTTGTTTAGCGGCGCGCCGGGGTGGTGCTCACGGAAGTGGTCTCCCATCGGGGTCCCTTCGGATGCGCTCAAGGCGTCTCGTAAATGTTCGTTAAATCTTAGTCGAACAGGTCGTTTTGTCTCGCCAATATATGTGCCGTCGTCACCCTTTCCTTCACACAACTTACAATTTAGCCTGTAGACGACGTTCTTCTGTGTACAATCACCTGAAAAATCTGATTTACACATGTTGCATCGTGGGCCTCCAGGGCAGATAGGTTTAGATAGTGATGATCTAACCAGTTTGTTTCGTAGCTTTTGGGGGTTCCTCCATGCTATCCTGACAGCTAAGCCAGATTTCCTAACTTTACTTTGAATTTTGCATAGCAGTTCTTCATCTATGTACGGTAAACATAAGAAGCCATCTTCGCCCTTGTCTCGACTAACTTTACCCATCCTGGATCTGGACCCTTGCTGTTTGACCTCCCACAAGAGCCTTCTAAGAACTTTCTCTGGGTACCCATTTTGAACCAACAATGTCCAAATCTTGTCTATACTCGCCCTCTCTTTAGCACTGCTCGAAGAGTTCCTGATCGCTCGCCGAAACTGACTACGGACTATGTTTTGTTTAGTAGACTTCGGGTGGGCTGATTTATAGTGCAGGATGATCCCTGAGTTCGTAGGTTTTATGTAAAGTTCGGTTTCAATCTTCGTAACCTGGCCCTGGGTCACTACTGTCACTAAGGTATCTAGGAAGGCCACACCCGACTTTGTACCGGAATGCTCCATGGTAAAGCGGAGTGTCGGATGAAGCGAGTTTAAATGCGACAGAAAATCTACTAAAGCCTGCTCTCCATGGGTCCACACGCCTGCGTAATCGTCAATGTACCGAACCAAAAAGGACGGTTTCTGATCCAGGTTTTCTAACGCTTTGCGCTCAAAACGATCCAGAAAGAGAATGGCTATGGGAGGGGCACATGGATTGCCCATAGCGATCCCTAGTGTTTGTCGGTAAAATTTATCATCAAACCTAAATACGTTCTTGGTGAGACAATGCTGAAGGAGATGTTTAATATCATCCTGGGAGAGACCGAAGGTATCCACCTCATCCTGGTGAGCCTCTAACTTCTCCATCACCGCATCGATAGCCTCAGGGATGGGGATGCTTCCATATAAATTCACAACATCTATGCTGAAGAATATAGATCCCTCGGCGAGCCCCTGTCCCTCTGAGTGAGCTGCTAACCGCTGTAGGAAATCACTAGTGTCCCACAAGTGCGTTTCCACAAAGTTCAATAGCTGCTTAAGTATGCGTTCTAAAAGACACGATGTTTTTTCCGTAGGACCCCCACAACCAGATATAACAGGCCTGAGTGGCACTGACTCCTTGTGGTCCTTAGGGAGACCATAAAATACCGGAGTCCTGCTATGGGCCGGTGTCAGCTCCTTAATGGTGTTCTCCGGCAACTTTCCTTGTGACACAGCTTTAAAAACTCTTTTAGTCTCGGCTTCTACCTTGGGGACAGGATTTTTCTCAAGAACCTCGTAGTTTGTGGAGTCGTCTAAAATAGCAAGTGACTTGTTCACATAATCATCCCTATCCATGATCACGAAGCCCTTGCACTTATCGCTCTGCTTGAAAACTACATCATTAGATTTCTGTGCCTTTTTAAGAAAATCTAACTGCTCTCCTGTAACGTTACTTTCATGCACTATATGACTTTTATACGTTTTCACCACATCGTCTTTTAGCTGTTTCAATCTACGCTCCACATCTACACTGGAGGGTGGTGGGAATTTCTTGTCAGTGTCGGGGAAACGGAACGTAAGACCCGACCTGGCACGTGCTGATCTCCGGCTGCTGGTATCAGCTGAAGTTGCAGGTGCCACACGGTCGTCCAGTGTGCCGCCGTTGTCGTTGGCCGTCGCTGATGACCCCGCGATAGCCTCACTGTTGTTGACCGGTGGGGCGATGGAGGTGGCCACCGCCGGAGGCGCAGTGCTGGCTTGCGGACCGGAGGCAGGCGCTGTACCAACGGTCGTAGTCGCATCAGTCGCTGTAGTGTTCGCCGGTCTCGTAGTTGTAGTCGTGCTCGAAGTTCTGGATTCGTTGTCGTTCGTTAAAGTGGTCGGCGCAGCACTGTACGCAGATGGTTTCTGTCTGCGAATGGCATCTTGCCACCGTTTGCCATAGGCAAAACGCTCGATCCCCTTTTCAGCTTCTAGAAGTACGTCCTGGGATATCTTTTGAGAAATGGCAAAATTGGGCCCTTTCGAAAGCAACTGTAGATCATCTTCTTTAAGCACGAGTGAAGATAAATTCACAACCCTCCTTGTGTTTGAGAACAGAGCTGCATTGTCATGTGTAGACAGACGAAGCCGATCAGCCTGTAGCTTGCGGAACTTCTGAATCAGTCTTGGTCTATTGTCACGCAGAGTAACATGAAAAACTTCCTCGCAAGTCGAATAAATGTATGAGAGAAGCCTATCATCGTGAACACTTTGAATCTCTGCATATTGACGGTTGCGCTGTCTAAGAAGATATGCTTTTCTTCTGTACGCCTCGGCGATAGCTTCGTTTAATATCGAATGGGCGAAGGTCTTGCATTTCGTTTGTACCCTCTCAGAGTCACAAAATATCTTTTCTACAGGCTTTAGAGCTTCTTCTATGAAACGGGGATTGATCTTCTCTTTTCTGCAGGCAGTTAGGAACTCTATTCTCAGGATTGTCTTCGCAAGTTTTTCCGGATTTTTTAATGTTTCAACGAGCACTCGGCGACGGTCACTGCTTGGTTCCAGATTGGTAATATTACTAAGTGCTCGAGCGAGGAACATATTGAATATAATTAGATAAATAAAAGAAGTTGACCTTTTCCTCGACATCAAAAATGTAAAAAGCCGAATAATATATTTAAAAAAAACGGTGAGCTTTCGGCCACTGGCCTTTATCAAACCAACGTGATAACAATGTTAAAAGACGATCCTGTGAATAATCTGGCTGCCATTTTTCAAAAACCGAAGATCGTGATATTTTAGAAAAGGCGCTACTCATAAGGGCAAACTATTTGATCGATCGATTGTCTACATAGTGTCCGATGTACGTAACATACATAATATACAATTGTACACGTAGCTGTCAAACACACATCGTATGGAAGGTATGTACACTAACGCCGATGTACATCACACACATAACAAAATAATATACACATACACATATTAATCGATTGAGTTGAAAAGGCTACACGCTCACAAGATACACATGATACAGGCGCTTACATGATTGGCCACGACGAAAGATTTGAGTTTATGTGCGGGCGGTTTGCTTTTATAAGTAGGGATTCTGCGATTTTTCTGTCCGGGTGGTCTTTGGAGCGATAAAGGACGCGAACCTGAAGAGGAAGGGATCCGAAGGGATCCCTTCCTTGAGCGCATCCGAAGGGACCCCGATGGGAGACCACTTCCGTGAGCACCACCCCGGCGCGCCGCTAAACAAATCATCCCTTCCTCTTCAGGTTCGCGTCCTTTATCGCTCCAAAGACCACCCGGACAGAAAAATCGCAGAATCCCTACTTATAAAAGCAAACCGCCCGCACATAAACTCAAATCTTTCGTCGTGGCCAATCATGTAAGCGCCTGTATCATGTGTATCTTGTGAGCGTGTAGCCTTTTCAACTCAATCGATTAATATGTGTATGTGTATATTATTTTGTTATGTGTGTGATGTACATCGGCGTTAGTGTACATACCTTCCATACGATGTGTGTTTGACAGCTACGTGTACAATTGTATATTATGTATGTTACGTACATCGGACACTATGTAGACAATCGATCGATCAAATAGTTTGCCCTTATGAGTAGCGCCTTTTCTAAAATATCACGATCTTCGGTTTTTGAAAAATGGCAGCCAGATTATTCACAGGATCGTCTTTTAACATTGTTATCACGTTGGTTTGATAAAGGCCAGTGGCCGAAAGCTCACCGTTTTTTTTAAATATATTATTCGGCTTTTTACATTTTTGATGTCGAGGAAAAGGTCAACTTCTTTTATTTATCTAATTATATTCAATATGTTCCTCGCTCGAGCACTTAGTAATATTACCAATCTGGAACCAAGCAGTGACCGTCGCCGAGTGCTCGTTGAAACATTAAAAAATCCGGAAAAACTTGCGAAGACAATCCTGAGAATAGAGTTCCTAACTGCCTGCAGAAAAGAGAAGATCAATCCCCGTTTCATAGAAGAAGCTCTAAAGCCTGTAGAAAAGATATTTTGTGACTCTGAGAGGGTACAAACGAAATGCAAGACCTTCGCCCATTCGATATTAAACGAAGCTATCGCCGAGGCGTACAGAAGAAAAGCATATCTTCTTAGACAGCGCAACCGTCAATATGCAGAGATTCAAAGTGTTCACGATGATAGGCTTCTCTCATACATTTATTCGACTTGCGAGGAAGTTTTTCATGTTACTCTGCGTGACAATAGACCAAGACTGATTCAGAAGTTCCGCAAGCTACAGGCTGATCGGCTTCGTCTGTCTACACATGACAATGCAGCTCTGTTCTCAAACACAAGGAGGGTTGTGAATTTATCTTCACTCGTGCTTAAAGAAGATGATCTACAGTTGCTTTCGAAAGGGCCCAATTTTGCCATTTCTCAAAAGATATCCCAGGACGTACTTCTAGAAGCTGAAAAGGGGATCGAGCGTTTTGCCTATGGCAAACGGTGGCAAGATGCCATTCGCAGACAGAAACCATCTGCGTACAGTGCTGCGCCGACCACTTTAACGAACGACAACGAATCCAGAACTTCGAGCACGACTACAACTACGAGACCGGCGAACACTACAGCGACTGATGCGACTACGACCGTTGGTACAGCGCCTGCCTCCGGTCCGCAAGCCAGCACTGCGCCTCCGGCGGTGGCCACCTCCATCGCCCCACCGGTCAACAACAGTGAGGCTATCGCGGGGTCATCAGCGACGGCCAACGACAACGGCGGCACACTGGACGACCGTGTGGCACCTGCAACTTCAGCTGATACCAGCAGCCGGAGATCAGCACGTGCCAGGTCGGGTCTTACGTTCCGTTTCCCCGACACTGACAAGAAATTCCCACCACCCTCCAGTGTAGATGTGGAGCGTAGATTGAAACAGCTAAAAGACGATGTGGTGAAAACGTATAAAAGTCATATAGTGCATGAAAGTAACGTTACAGGAGAGCAGTTAGATTTTCTTAAAAAGGCACAGAAATCTAATGATGTAGTTTTCAAGCAGAGCGATAAGTGCAAGGGCTTCGTGATCATGGATAGGGATGATTATGTGAACAAGTCACTTGCTATTTTAGACGACTCCACAAACTACGAGGTTCTTGAGAAAAATCCTGTCCCCAAGGTAGAAGCCGAGACTAAAAGAGTTTTTAAAGCTGTGTCACAAGGAAAGTTGCCGGAGAACACCATTAAGGAGCTGACACCGGCCCATAGCAGGACTCCGGTATTTTATGGTCTCCCTAAGGACCACAAGGAGTCAGTGCCACTCAGGCCTGTTATATCTGGTTGTGGGGGTCCTACGGAAAAAACATCGTGTCTTTTAGAACGCATACTTAAGCAGCTATTGAACTTTGTGGAAACGCACTTGTGGGACACTAGTGATTTCCTACAGCGGTTAGCAGCTCACTCAGAGGGACAGGGGCTCGCCGAGGGATCTATATTCTTCAGCATAGATGTTGTGAATTTATATGGAAGCATCCCCATCCCTGAGGCTATCGATGCGGTGATGGAGAAGTTAGAGGCTCACCAGGATGAGGTGGATACCTTCGGTCTCTCCCAGGATGATATTAAACATCTCCTTCAGCATTGTCTCACCAAGAACGTATTTAGGTTTGATGATAAATTTTACCGACAAACACTAGGGATCGCTATGGGCAATCCATGTGCCCCTCCCATAGCCATTCTCTTTCTGGATCGTTTTGAGCGCAAAGCGTTAGAAAACCTGGATCAGAAACCGTCCTTTTTGGTTCGGTACATTGACGATTACGCAGGCGTGTGGACCCATGGAGAGCAGGCTTTAGTAGATTTTCTGTCGCATTTAAACTCGCTTCATCCGACACTCCGCTTTACCATGGAGCATTCCGGTACAAAGTCGGGTGTGGCCTTCCTAGATACCTTAGTGACAGTAGTGACCCAGGGCCAGGTTACGAAGATTGAAACCGAACTTTACATAAAACCTACGAACTCAGGGATCATCCTGCACTATAAATCAGCCCACCCGAAGTCTACTAAACAAAACATAGTCCGTAGTCAGTTTCGGCGAGCGATCAGGAACTCTTCGAGCAGTGCTAAAGAGAGGGCGAGTATAGACAAGATTTGGACATTGTTGGTTCAAAATGGGTACCCAGAGAAAGTTCTTAGAAGGCTCTTGTGGGAGGTCAAACAGCAAGGGTCCAGATCCAGGATGGGTAAAGTTAGTCGAGACAAGGGCGAAGATGGCTTCTTATGTTTACCGTACATAGATGAAGAACTGCTATGCAAAATTCAAAGTAAAGTTAGGAAATCTGGCTTAGCTGTCAGGATAGCATGGAGGAACCCCCAAAAGCTACGAAACAAACTGGTTAGATCATCACTATCTAAACCTATCTGCCCTGGAGGCCCACGATGCAACATGTGTAAATCAGATTTTTCAGGTGATTGTACACAGAAGAACGTCGTCTACAGGCTAAATTGTAAGTTGTGTGAAGGAAAGGGTGACGACGGCACATATATTGGCGAGACAAAACGACCTGTTCGACTAAGATTTAACGAACATTTACGAGACGCCTTGAGCGCATCCGAAGGGACCCCGATGGGAGACCACTTCCGTGAGCACCACCCCGGCGCGCCGCTAAACAAATCATCCCTTCCTCTTCAGGTTCGCGTCCTTTATCGCTCCAAAGACCACCCGGACAGAAAAATCGCAGAATCCCTACTTATAAAAGCAAACCGCCCGCACATAAACTCAAATCTTTCGTCGTGGCCAATCATGTAAGCGCCTGTATCATGTGTATCTTGTGAGCGTGTAGCCTTTTCAACTCAATCGATTAATATGTGTATGTGTATATTATTTTGTTATGTGTGTGATGTACATCGGCGTTAGTGTACATACCTTCCATACGATGTGTGTTTGACAGCTACGTGTACAATTGTATATTATGTATGTTACGTACATCGGACACTATGTAGACAATCGATCGATCAAATAGTTTGCCCTTATGAGTAGCGCCTTTTCTAAAATATCACGATCTTCGGTTTTTGAAAAATGGCAGCCAGATTATTCACAGGATCGTCTTTTAACATTGTTATCACGTTGGTTTGATAAAGGCCAGTGGCCGAAAGCTCACCGTTTTTTTTAAATATATTATTCGGCTTTTTACATTTTTGATGTCGAGGAAAAGGTCAACTTCTTTTATTTATCTAATTATAACATTTTAGAAGGTGGGATAGTCCCTTTAAAGGGACAGTATCACCATTTTGATGAAATTTGACATTGCATAGGCCCCACCTTTCTGGTCCGGGAACTGAAGACCGATCCTCGAAGCTCCACACCGTTATCCCGCTATCGCCGCTCAAAGTACGAAAGGTGTACTACACTTTGAATCGTGCTTCACTATCTTCACTGTTTAAAGGGAGATAATGAGCTTTCTTTTTTCTTTAATAAAAATTACTCGACATCTATACTATTTCTACTGTAGTTTCTATAAAATATGAAAATTTCCTAGCACATTTTGTATGTGAAAAAGGTTTTTATTTTTGCAAAAAAGAAGCAGTACTTGCAGTACTTGTAACACCCACCGAAATGCGTTGTCCTTCTTGTCCTTCTCTATAAAAAGTCGCAGTATATGGCGCTTTTGTTTCAAACAGCGACGCTTGGGTTTTTGTTTATGTTATCGCCTTGTCGTTGCTTGGTTGTAAGGATTCTAATTTGAATTAGACAGGCGCGTAACCACGAGTCTGAAGTTACTGGGGACCATATGAAGGGCCGCGGAGACCAAATATCATATTTCAAGATCAGCCTTCGCCCGAGTGCGGGGAGGGAAGAGGACGGGGGCGTTTTTGGCCACTTCTGCCAGTTGTTTTTGTTGCGCGTGTAGGGAAAACCGCGGCTCGCACCGCCGCGAAACTTGGTATAGCTTATGATATCTCAACTTTGCATCGTGTGTGAAAATTTTGACCCCAGGTCACCTAAGTTCAGGTCACCACTCACCAGGTCAGTAAAGTAACCATGCCTCTAAAAAAAAAAATGTGGCTCTGTTATTCCTTTAGGATAACTGATTGGACTAAATTTACTAAAAGAATTAAAAAAAAATCATACAGTTTACATCCCAGAAGTTTGAAACTCGAGCTTTTGCATGAGGAAATCAGTATTAACAATTTTTATATCTCAAAGTTTTCACATCGGTGACCTAATGTCAGGTCATTTTTACGACCTCTTCATTATAGGCAAGTCATTGGGAGAAAATTGAAATGCTCTTCTTTCATTCGACGCGTCTCGACGAGACAACCGCGATGCCGGTAACATCAACGTCATACAAGTTTTGAGTCCAAAGTTATGATACAAAAAGCTTGTCCGCAAAAACGCCAGTCTGGAAGATAAACCATTGACCTTAGGTCAAATCTGAGAACATTACCTACTCAGAAAGACCTTTGAAAGAGCTATCGAATGCGCTTTCCTGCAGCACTGCAGCTCTATTGGTTTCTGACTTACGTGCTGTTTTGTGAAAAGTTGTCAAAATTAGGAACAAAAGTTCGTGAAAATTTCACATTTGATGACCTCCAGTGACCTCAGTGATGACCTGATAAAAATGATATAGGTAATTTTGAAAGATACTGTAGCAAGCTATCTGTTGCTTTTTACCGCATCTTTCTAGCTTGCTTACTTACCGAGATAATCTGGTGTGGCCAAAAAGCCTCCCCCCACCATGCGAAGTTGGCTGAGAGACCCACCCGGCGCTGGCTAAACAAAACGGGTGCGTATTATTTAGGCCAGGGTTCATAATGTCCCATCCATGGATGTTTTGTTTTGTTAACGGAAGACAAAACTATGGATAGTTTTCTCTCCCGTTGACTACAGATTACTCTTCACGTTGATTTAGAGACAATATTTCGCTAATCAAGCAAATTGAGGAGGTCGTCGGTTTTACTGGGGACGGTCCCCAGTAACCCAAAAGTTACTGGGGACCGGTCCCCAGTGTCCCCAGTGGTGGTTACGCGCCTGGGATTAGAGCTAATTCGGTTTAGAATTAATTAGATTCGTACATAGTGCCTACTCTTCTTTGTTTCCAAGTATTATTTTGCGCCACAAATGAACGGCATGCGCCAGAAACGCAGCCAAATCTTGCGATTGCGACTACGAAATTCATTATTTTGGCCTCAGAGCCTGAAGCGAAAAATACAAGCATATTTATTTCAAAAAGACTTCAGGTTTGTCGAACGGTGTTATGAGAATTTTGATAACAGTACTGCATAAGTTTTTCAGTGATGCCGCAAAAGTGTTGTATCTATCTTCTTTTATTGTGCAGTCGGCGGGACCGATTCAAAATTGAGTCGTTGCTACTAAAATAGCAGCATATGGCCTCAGATGATGAACAGGAAAAATAGTTGCGTAAATTTAGACATAAACCACCCCCAAACCATGAATATCTTTTGAAGGCACTATAGACGACCATTAACTAACTAGATGTGATGAAGATCAAATGTAAGGAATACGCTCATTTTACAAAATTACATGCAAGTACCAAAAAGTGATGTAAGTACTTATTCAACGGTCATTTTCAGCGCTCCCCGCTAACGTGACTTCAAGTTGAGATATTTGCGGCAAGGTACCGCATTGAGCAAAATGGTTTTAATTTACATTATAACTTGTTGTGTTTTGTCAGAAAATGATCCTAACTCAGATTTTGTGGAAAAAGGTCATTATCTCCCTTTAAATGTTTGCGCCGTTTTGAATTGACCGCCAGTAATAAAACTTTTACCCTGGTCATTTCGTCAAATTTTATAAAGCCAAAACGTTTTTCGCACTTATTCATCACCGTAAAATTCATTAAATAGTCGTAGGCAATTTCCGCTGTTTCCTTCGGATTCTAGCGGCTCAACAAAGGAATTCCTCCAGCTTGAATCACAATCTCCCTCCAATGTATGACGTTTATCACGTGATTGTCACGTGATATTTTCTCCCATTGTCAACTGTCACGTCCAATTGTCACTCCCTCCAATTGTCACGTGATATTTTTATAGGCAATACCTAAGGCTACCTCTCCCTAAGGACAACTCAATCAGAAGAACGACCGCGTAAGCGTAGCGTCAATAATGTATTATCTGCGCCAGTTCTGTAGTAATTTTGCATGCTTCCAAATTGGCGGCCATGCTTGTATAGTGGTGGTTCGCTCATGAAAATGAATCATGAAAATGAAATGTGGTTGCAATATTTTTCACCGAGTTCGGTCCTCAAACTATGTTTTTCTGATTCAGAAAAATAAGAAATGCTAGTTAAAAAAAATCAGCTCCATACATTGATTTTTTTTCGATGATACGGAAATTTCTTTAACGGAACTTTAACTTTTTACGGAACCCTTTAACCCTTTAACGGAAATTTCTGAGTATGAGCGGCCGGCCGGCCGTGGTCACGATTCTGCGACGCTTATATCTCAGCAACCACTTGACCGATTTACACGCGGTAATTTTTGTAGGGTAACTTCATTCCTTCTACTAAGTATTGGACTATTCCCGATGCATGTGGGTGACCCCTTATGCACGTGCCACGTGCAAAACGAAGAGGTGTCACTTTTGTAATTGTTGCAATATCTCGGTAACTACTTGGCCGATTGCGCTGAAAGTTGGCATGTAGGTAGGCGCCCACTAGGCAATGCATATCCATGTGCCAGAGTTGGGATGCTGCTGCACGTGCGCACGTGCAGGGGTCGATTCCAGATCTCGAGAACGGCTGGACCGATGGTGCTCTAATTTGGCACATGGTTAGGGACCGGTTAGTAGGGTGCCGTGCAAAAGTCAGTTGGGACCCATTTTGCACGTGCGCGCGTGCAGGGTGCCGCTTCCAGATCTCGAGAACGACTGGGCCGATTGTGCTCAAATTTGACACATCGCTAGAGACCGGTTAGTATGGGTGCTGTGCACAAGTCAGCTGGAGGTACCCCGTCGAAATTTCGCACGTGCAAGGCTCACCCTCTTGCTCGCTCCGTTAGTCGCCCCAAAAGGCGTTATACTGGTTTGTAAAATTGAAGGTTTGATTGAAAATGATCGCAAAGCAGAACATCAACACTACCGGTACCGGCCACGGGACGCAGTGTAAAAGTAAAAAGGAATTCATAATCACCCCTAATGTCAAGACTTTGTGAATGAAATTTTCAGTCGTGGTTGTGAGTACCTACTTGGGGAAGTTGGCCGGAACGAGAACTGGCGCCATCACAACTCATTTTCGTATAATTATTCTAATATATATTATATGCCTAAGTTTCATGACGAGCTGTTCCCTCGATTGTAGGTATAGGTATGCACGCCATTCCTACTTGCACTCAGTGCCTACTGCCTATCTGTTAAACAAAAACATGCGAAATAACACGATGTTTGAGGTTTATTGGTAGGCGAATTGTACACGAATTGCACACAACGCACATTCATATATTTCAATAAGCATGCATGCACAATAAAAATAATTGCGGCGAGCATCACAGGTGATATCGGACATGTCTATTGCAACAGTGCACACGACAGGCAGGTGACAAGTACATAAAGATAGGACAAGAGAAGAAATCGCATTCAGATTCGTGGCGCAGACTAGCATGAGAAACGCATCCAAAAGATGCGAAGTTTTGATTCCAGTTGTGCGCAAACGTCGCGATATTTACACTTGCAGTTTGATACTTGTAATGAGTGGCAGTGCTAGGATGATGCTAGGTTTTCTTACGTTAAGTAACGATACTGGCTGGAAAGCAACCGCGTCATTTGAAAAGTGGCATTATGTTGTTATCTAGTTTTGATGTAATATTCTTACAAATATTTCAATAAGACGAAAAATCGAACATTCGATTCGGCAAGTCAGTCTAAACACGGTGGTTCCGTACACCGTTTAGCCAGATTGATCGAATGGGGACCACATACAGTGAGTGCAATTGTTTACCTACATCTGTGCAATGACGTAGCACACAATTTCGTCAACTAAGTAGGCTGTTCGGTACTGCATTGCCCGCCAGGAGCCCATTATTTCTCACTCCACTGCGTGAGGCAAGACATCTGAGTCATCAGCATTCGGCAAAGACAAAACAGGACGATTCACTGACGCTACTCACGACTCGTCGGGCTTCAGTCCCTGTCACAACGACCGTGGCATGCGTCAAAAATACTCGGTGCTAGAATAGCGTCTCTACACTAGTGTGTCGAGCACATAGCCGACGGCCGCCTCGTCACTGCTGCTGTGCAACGAACTGAGGCCGGTGTCAGAGTTCGAGTCGCCGTCGGCCAACTCCTTCGTGCCCCCGGGCGGCGGCAGGTTCGTGTACACGGGGTTGGCGTACCCGGCGGGCGCGTGGTGGTCGGAGCGCTGCGAGACCGCCAGGCGCGGCTGGTCCGCTGGCGGAGTCCGCTGTTCGACCGTCAGCGTCTGCTCGTCCGCCAGGCGGCGCCGCTCGTCCTCCAGGAGGCGCTGTCCGTCGGCCAGCAGGCGCCGCTCGTCTGCCTCCATCTCGTCCAGCTCGCACTCGAGGTAGCGCGCAAAGCGCCGCTTGTCCTCGAGCGCGTGCTCGCACGCCATGAGCGCGCGCTCGTTCTGCTCGATCTCGGCCGTCTGGCGCGCGCAGACGGCCATCAGACGCTGCAGCTCGGCGCGCGAGATCTCCAGCTCGAGCACCGTCTGGGAGGTGTCTTCTGGGGCGGTGGGCGCGGCGGCGCGGCGCACGCGCTGCGTCAGCCGCACGGCCGCCTCCTCCTGCTCGGCGATCCGGCTGTTGAGCTCGACGATCCGCTCCAGGTACATCAGCGTCTGCCGCAGGTCCGAGACGGCCTCCTCCTCGCTGACGTCCCGGCGCGGCGACTCCGGCGCGTCGGCGCCCAGTTCGGCGCCCACGCCGCTGTCGTGGCTCGCCTTCTCCGCCTCCGCCGGCTCGCCGTCACGGAGGTAGGTGCGGAGCAGGTAGTCCGAGCCGAGACGGTCCTCCCGCATTCGGTGCATCTTGTGCTCGTAGTAGCCGATGAGGTCCTCTCGCTCGTGCAGCCGCCGCAGCTGCGCGGCGATCGTCTCGCCCTGGACGAGGATGGTCTGCATCAGTCGCTCGACCACGTCGTCCCGGGCGCTGTCGTGGTCGGTCGCCGCCGTCAGTTTGCGCGGGTGCACCGCCTCCAGACTGCTGGAGCTGCGCCACCGGTGTCGCTGCCGGCGCCGCGGCGCCTTCACCTCCTTGGGCGTCTGCGGACCGAGCCGCTTCAGCGCGAACCGCACCTCTGCCGTGTCCTCGCCCCATGTCCTCCAGACCTTCTGGATGCGCGCGGCGGGGTCGAGCGGCCGCTCCACCTGTCGCCACCGCTCCACGAGGCTGTAGGCCCGCAGCTCGGACTCAGTGGGCGGCTCCGATCCAGCCTCGGCGCTGAGCAGGGCGCGCACCAGGTCGGCGCAGGTGGTCCGCCGGCCGACGCCGGTCACCCACTTCTCCACACCGTCCACCCACACCGGGATCTCAGAGGTCATCGTCATCTGGAACAGACACAGAAACACGTCAGGTAATGTCCGGAGTGTGCTGGAAGGGACCTACTGGGTGTTGAATGGGTGGTGTGACACGGCATAAATGGAAAGTGAGATGCCTGCTTTTACCAACAAATCAAACAAACGTTATGCAGATCATTTCTGTTGATGTGCTCCATGCTGTCACTCAGGACGTGCAGTGGACACTGCACAGTGCACACTGACCCACACACGGAGATCAAGAGATCGGGTGAAATATAACCAGTTACGCCAATGCCTCATGGAATGAGGTAAAAGGCTTTGTCGAAACGCAACTCAGCAATTTACCCAGCATTCATCTATGCGGTTTAGTGTCCCGCACGCACGTCACAGGTCCACCTGTGACGTCAGTGGTCCTGACAGCTACTCGCAACATCACTAAAGAAATGTAATTAAAGCCTGATTGATTTTCAAGTCTGTGTGAAAGGTGTGATTGAATGTCGGTGAGCCGGTGGCTTATCACGCCAAGGTAATCCCGCAGCGGCAAATAATGTTGGCCTTGGGCGCTTCACAGTAACTTATGGCTGTGACGAAACACGGCGCTGGGTGGCGGATTTTTATTGTCCATTATCCCTCACCCGGAATGCAGTTACCTTTCCTGGCTGAATTGGCATGAGTGCCAATATAGCAATAACGATATGAGCGGAACAGCTGTATGAAATGGTCGTAGATTTAGAAGCATCGGTTCTTTTCCAGGTCAAGGCAGATGCAGAGCTTGGAGTCTTTAACCAGCATGCCCATGAGTGAGTAATTGAGAGGATAAGTGCATCAGAAGAAATTGAAACGGAGGGAAAAGGCGGTGCGATCCTGAACTCCACTCCAGGTGAGTCCTTTGAAGTATTATAATGGCTCTCCCTCTGTTTCATTATCTCATATCCCTCTCTTCGCAAGGGCTCCTCTCACTTTCTCCTACTTAATTAATCCTCGTCATTCATATGTCACGCGTCAGTAGTAACTTGTTTGAGCCGCTAGCCCAATAGATCAGTCTTCACTCTCCGCCAGCTGCCGTACCCCGACCGGACATCTGTCTGACGTTATGGATGCACGTCTCAACCGTCACCATAACGCGCCGTGCTCTCCAAAGTCTGTCAATAATTAGGCCACCACGCGGTATGCAGGCCGGCCTTCTGTTTGTCTGTCACCCGTCTGGCATCTATATGTCCACCATTCATCCGTCATTCGTACGTCACCCATCCGTCATTCCTCCAGCATCCATCAGTCGCCGTTATTCGTCAGTCATCTGTCCGTCTTTCGCTTCTCATATCGGCTCCAGCCACCTATCCCTCCGTCGTCCTTAGCCCATCCCTCCGTCCTTCATCGTTCCTCATCCGCCCGTCTCTCGCTCATCGCCATTCACCTGTCATCCTATCGTCCACCTGTCGTCCGTCTCTCGTACTGTCGTCCGTCTCTCGTCCTGTCGTCCGTCTCTCGTCCTGTCGTCCTTCCGCCTCGTCACTCCGCCCACGTCGCGTCAATCGCCCCAAGCGCGTCACCGACCTTGCCAGTCGCTGACAATCGTTGACGCCCCTGTCTGTGGTTCATTAGTGGTGCGATGAGCGCAGAGATGCATATTTGTCTCTCTTCTAATGGACACCGGAATTTGAATTGGAGAGTGCCGAGGGAGCGGTTCACACGCCCTGAACGTGTGAAGGTCACTGAAATGAAAAATGGAGGCCCACGCGGATGAGGTTTTGTTTAGAAGGACGGACCGACCATGTGGGCCTTGTGTTTTGCCGTGGGATTGGAGAGGCGTTTGGACTATTCCAGGATGAGCAATAAAAACGAAGCCATCGTCGCTAAAAACATCTAATGGTGAAAATAGTAGACAACTACGAGGGTGCTAGAACAATTATCCTCTGTTATCATCCTTATTCTCAACCGATGTTAATTGAGTTTTCGATGTAAAATGGTCTTCCGGCATTAAGCGGTATACAATGCGAAAGTGATAGTTCGGTGCATTAACACAGGCAAAATGCATCTCAGTGGGCAGTCGACGCATGTGGCATGGAGCAAATTGCAAAACGATGTTCATTTTTTGGTCACCTCATGCACATGCTTGCAGCGCTCATTCGGCGCTCTTGTGCAAAAAAAGGGGAACGTGGGAGCAAATGATAAGCGTTAAATGTTTGCCACCCATTCTCATAATAATACAAAGCGCACTTTGCGTGCCAAATACACACGTTGGCGCTTGTCAGTGGCTGCGATAAAATAAACTTATTACAGGCGTTAAAGGTCCATAAGAAAGCGGACAGAGTTGTTCTGAGTGTTCACACCGGTGTGAAGGTGTGCTGAACCTCTTCACTCCATGATTCCTCGCTGTAGACGGTCTGCATCCCACATGACTCACTGTTATGGCGTCAATAATGACTCAGCTTGTCACATATGAGCCATAAGCCCGTGCTGGGTCGGCCGAATGCCGCGTTAAGCCGCCGCACCACGAGCCGGGCACCCTCTGCGGTCTGCGCCCTCACCGAGCCCACGCCCTTTGGATCCATGGACAGTCCGTGAGCCCCTCACACGGCCCATTATTGGAGCGTATGATGGTCGCGTGTGTCAGCAAAAGGAACCGCCGATAAATGCACGGGCCGACCGCCGAGATTTGTGGACTTCCCGTGTGTGCATTTTTCACGGCTTCGTCCAGTCATGCCGTGTCGGTGAGAAAATTCGGAGGCCTGGGACTGCCCCAGCCGTGTGGCCCCGGGTTTGACGAGCTAGCTGTTGTTGCAGCGTCACTCGGCATGCACGCCGATTGTTGATGCAAGTGGTGGACACATGCATAAATAGCGCTCACGAGGGAAGCTATCCGTCATACCTGGGAAACATGTAGCAGCCGTTTTGTAGCCATCGTTATGGATACAAACTCAGACACCATGACCGACAGCAAACGCATGCATTCACTGCAAATGCCTACTCATCACCGGACCGACAGTTGCTCCTGCAGCTCTCAACCGGTGGAGCTCATCATAGCAGAGCCATCACTCCCAAGGCCACGGCGCCCATCTTATCCCGAACAGCGGACCGTGAACCGGCGCCTGGTTAACACTGGCGGCCTCCACAAAGGCTTTCGACCAGCTCGCATTTGCATGCCTGGCCAGGGCACGTCTGAGCGGAGTCGGCGCAGCTCGGCCGCCGGCGCGCCGACCGGTACTGACCTCTGACCTGACCAGGCAGACGGCTCGGCCGCCGCTGCTCACCACGGCACGAACGCGACGTCCAGGTGTTTACGGCAGCGGTCCGTCGGCCGCGCGGGGTGTCGCTGGAACCAGCTGAGAGCCACGGTTACACCAGCCAGGGCTCGAGACGGTAGTGGTATACCAGTGACTGCGTGGGCCGCCCCCGAGGGAGGACGAGACCGGGGAAACGGTAACACTTGACAATGGAGGCATTTCTGAAAGAGCTTCAGCGTCTCGTCTCTTGTATAGAGTCTGAGCTGTGTAAGCTTGCTCTACAACGACAATCATTGGCGATATGTGAGGCAATGACGATCGTCGAATGCAGCGATTGTACATTCATTTTTTCATCGAAAGCAAGAGCAATATTGTAATTTGTAATCATTGTCTTTTCATAGCAGAATGTCCAGATTATTTTTCGGTATGATATGCACTGACGGAGTAACGAGATACCTTGTTCAACAATGCCATTAGGCGAATGGCATGGGAACATCAACGTGAACCCAGCAAAACCTATTGGTATCTCATCTTTTCATAGCTTACATACCTAACCACCGTGTGAATTCCTGCTCAAAATCGTGCGCAAGGCCTGCATTACGACATTTCAAGGTTCGCTTTGTTTTACTCATGTGAAAGTGCGAGTAAACCTTGAGTGGGCACTGACCAAGCTGCAGCTTGATAACCAAATCACTGACAGTCTGTCAGATTTGGTGGGGCCTTCCGTTGTGGCATTGTTGCGGGTCTAGCTTTACTCAGCACCGTGTGCTGGACGGAAACGTCCATGCATGCTAAAAGTGACTAATGGTAAGTACATCAAACATAAGAATTTCATGGCTCTGGAGCCCTAATTCATTTGTCTTTGAATTCACATGACCTCGTGTATTGCAGCATTATTTCCATGTTTGAGCCGTCACAAGTCACGATCAGCCTTGTAACGTTGCACGTAACGTCACGGCCGCGATGTGACCGTGACGGTTTTTCAGTCAGTCACACTCGGCCGAGCTGGAACGCGGTGTCATACCTGTTACCTGTGTGGCACAGCGATGCTATGCAGATAGTTGAAGGAAGTCGTGCGATGCAGCAGGGAACATGGTAGCTGCTGATCCCTACGGCGTTAAAAAAGATCCCTACAGCGTTTGCATTGTGAATGCTGACGAGTGCTGTCATGACGAGCGATGCAAAGCGTAAATAGTGGTATTTCAGCTGTTTTCGGTTCTTTCAATGTAACGTGCCTAGGAAACAATGCCAGATACGGTGTCACGTAGGTAATCTAGGCCTGATAAGTTTCATTGTTTGTACCGGATGACGAATGCTTGATTCTCAGAATGGAAATTGCAAGACTGAATCGGCTTACCTAATAGTTGCTGAATAATTATCATTGTCTTTTAAAACTTCACCTGCAGTTGGGGCAATACATGCTCAAGTAAGCCTAATATGATGTTGTCATCATTTGCAGCTTTTATTACATCGCGTCGGTTCAATAGCATGCATGTACTCGATTCGATGAGTCAGAAGGTCGTGCTTTGCATGGAGTCCAACATAAGCATATTCCATAAAAATGAATGCGTTCCGTGCTTATGACGCGAACGGGTACCCGTTTGAAACGGTTACTGATGTTACTTATCAAACCAGCGGTTATTTAACCGAAAATTTCGTGTTCCGTTTGCTCACAGCTCCTCCGAGGGGTAATGAACTTCGTCCTCCGCCGACCACAGCCGAGCTGCATTCTTCTTCCCTTTTTTGTCCGCATTTACCCTTGCCCATCCAACTTTTATTTTCACCCTTCTCTCGCGCTGGGAGGAGTCCGGTGAATTATAGGCCCCTGAAAATGAAATTCCTTCCTTCTCTGTACATTAGGCGGGTGTAATGTCGGCGGTGCTGTCATATTAGAGCGTTATCGCCCGGCGGAGGCGCCTTTTGTGCTGCCGCTCTCCGCGCTCCCCCGAGAGCAGGGACGCCTGAACCCTCCCCACCCAACCGCGCAATCCAATCACGAATATTACCCTCCCCTCATTAGCTCTCCGTCACGGCGAGTTAAAGTTGGGCCCAACCAGTCAGGAATGAACACTTTTACCGGAGTCCCATGCGGCCTCAACAAAAATGTCTGCAAAGGTGTGATTAGCCAGCCGCCGGGGCACCCAACCCAAGGGCACAGGAGCCGTGACTCACGGTAGCTGGAGGTGATGAGGGCCCTCAAACCCCATCTGGCACGAGTCTTACTACCGGCGGCGGGCTCGGCGCCACGGTAGCAATAAACGGTAGTACGCCGCGCGCGACGGGCGCAAAACATCCCGACCGCGGCCGGCGGCGGCGCTGGCGGCGCGGCGAGGCAGTGGCGGCGCGGTGGCGGCGGCGCCTCACGAGGGCCGTTTTTAGGACCGTCGAGTGCCGTCAGCTGCGTGAAGGCTCAGGAGGTGACGCTGCTAGTGTGATACGTGCTCCTCTCGGAAACCGGTGCAGCGGTAGAAGGGTTAAACGCCTGGGCTCCGGCTTCTTTGGTCTATTTCTGAACATCATGGTCGTGATTTATCATAAGGGACAGGCCCATAATTGAAAGAGATTCAACTAATTGACATGTAACGTAACATAAAACTGAACGGCAAGGACGAGCCGTTCAGACCTTTACGTAGCTACTCTTCCTCGTCGCGTCTCA